TAGATCCATATTCTCTTCTTTTTTTTCAAATAGCTTACCCCTCTTACCATTAAACCCCACATGACCTACCCCCATCCGCTGTTTCAATAATCTTTTTTTTATATTCATCCCAATGTACTTCTGTCTGGCCCCCAATTATCACAGACCCCCTTCCCTCTTCCGAACCTCAACCCACCGCAAATATCCCCTTTCTTGATCCCTCAAAACTGAAACTTGGACAAACCCTCCAAAGAAAATTAAACACACCCCCTCCCTCTCCCCCCCCCCATCCCCCCCCCCCCCCCCCACAACCCCCCCCGCCCCCCCACAACCCAAACCCCCCGCTTACACCCCCACACTACCTTAAATAGCTCCCCCCCTCACTCCGTTCGATATCCTCTTACTACACATCCGACCCCCCCAAACTTTCTTTTTTTCCCCCCCCCCCCTTTCCCCCCCCCTTTTAAGACAGTTAGGCGACCATTTAAGCGATTCCCATCCGGAGACAGGTTGGAATGATATCAAAAAGGCTGTGCAAACAGCAGTGATATTTACTAGTAAGGTAAACCATAAGATTAAAATGAAGCCGTGGATCTCCGTAGCATCTACCGAACTGATGGATGCTCGAAAACTCATCACACCTGGCTCTGAGTGCGATGAGAAGCAGAGTGAGCTTAGACGTAGGTTGATAAAAAGCCTTACTCAATGATCGAGAACAGTGGTGAGTGGCGAAAGCGAGAGAGATGGAAAAGGCAACGGCGATAGGCAACCATTCAGACTCATCATGGAAACCGGTATTAGGAACCCAGATGTGAGTGAGACTATTTCGGAAAAGGGATTCTCTAGTTCAAGTGGTGTCTGTCAGTGTTGACCTATTTCCCCATTCTTGTTTACTTTGTCGTAGATATGCTTCTCGAGTTCACATTATCGTCTGACTCTTCAGGGGTGGACCTCCGACTAGGAGACTCGCCTGATGACTTAGATTATGGTGACGACATAGTCCTATTCGGTGAAGAGGTTGACGTTGCTTCAAGAGTGGGTTTCATCGGCACCTGTACTAGTCAAAGGCAGTGGAGTAGTCGAACGTGTTGACCGCTTCACTTATCTTGGTAGTCTCCTGAGTACTCATGGCCTGGTGACCGACGAAATCTCAGCACGGATACACAAGGCTGGACTGGCTTTTTCCAACCTGCACCACATATGGCGTAGGCGAGATACCAGTATGTTGACTAAAGGACGAGTGTACTGCGCAGTAGTTCGCTCCGTCCTACTTCATGGCTGTGGAACGTCACCAGCCAGAGTAGAAGATATTCGTGGGTTACTGGCTTTCGATAATAGGTACCTCCAAAGTAGTGCTCGTGTATCATGGAACAAGTGAGTAAGCAGTGCCGTCGTTAGGAAACGAGTACTAGTTAAGGATGGTAGGTCAATAGACCAAGTATTGAAAGTTCATCAGTTGAGATGGTTGGGACATGTGTTACGAATACCCTACCACCAACTGCCTCGACGAGCTATGTTTTGTGGTGTAGGAGTAGGTTGGAAGAAAGCCAGGGGCGGCCAAAGCAAAACATGGCATAAATCCATGGAGTCACTGACAACTGGATTGGGTCGTGTTGGTAGATGTAGACTACCTGGTTGGGGTGCGCGAGTAACCGATGATTAGAGACGTTGAAGAACATGGCTCAGAATTATTTGCAACGGTGCAGGTGCATCCACTCTTTGTGTTCTTTCAAATTCCTCATCATCTCCTTCTTTCTCTTTCTAACTTTATCTCGCTGAACTATCCCCTAATCTTCTCTTTGACTGTCAGAGCTATTGTTGTACAACAATATATAGTTCTGCTGGAAAAGTAAGATTAGAATAAATCAGGAGGCGCATCATAATTCTACGTATCAGGTCAGAATTCACAGGTCATTAAATTTTTCAACGTACGGACCCTCATGTTTGATACTTAAGAAGCAAAGTATCTCAATATTATGATAAGTTATTTTTTAGTTGAGACAATTACCGTTAAAAGGTAATACTAATTGGTAATTACCAACTGAGCGACATTTGTAAGTGAAATTTCAAACTAAATATGCAAGACCCGAATATAAACCTACTCACTATAATCTTGTAGTCATATTCAAGCAAACGTAATCGAAAAAGGTCAATTTAAGCCAAATTATATAATTACGGCTACATAAACAAGTAATAGGCAATTAGAAACTCATTAAGTGCAAGATCGGCAAACGATTAGATTAATTTTAAGAATAATAAAGATCCAAATTTGAATGAGATCGGAAAAATCAAGAGTTCTTATGGGAGTACTTTGAAGATTTATTTTGAATTTGTACTAACGTTTTTATTACTCAACTACGAAAAATTCAGCTGTGGAAGATAGAAAAAGGTACAAGATCTTACAGAAAATGAAATCGTCGGTAACAAGTTGAAACATCTAAGCATAATCACTAATAAGCTGAAAAGTTAAATCAATATTATGAGTAAATCTAGCCAGTTACGTGATAGTGGCTGTACAGAGAGCAAGAGTGAAGAAATTTCTAACCACGCAACTTGACTAAAATGAAAAGCAGTATCCCGCACACTTCAGCTGAGAAAGCTATCACAATGTGAGCATGAAGTTCATTAGTGAACGGGGTTTCGAATACAACAGCGTTGTGCGTTCTACAGCTAACAATAAAAATCCAAAAACATGAGGCGTTCATTTAGATGAAATCAACCGGAAAACAAGTAATATAAACTCAAAAAAGTGCAAGACACTGAAATTAGGTAAATCATGGAGGGAAAAATATTCGGTATAGCAAGACTATATCATGTTTTGCTGTTAAAAAACGAGTTATTTACTGAAAAGAAGTTTACAATTCAGATTATATGATAAATTCGTATGTTTGTATACAGGGTGACAATGTATCTCTCAATCGAACCTGTGAAACTGGGTATTTCATTTGTCTATTCATTATGAGACATTGGTACATTTGGCATATTTGTCGACAGAAATATGTTACAACCGCGTATTTCGGCGATTGGACGTGGAAGGAATAACGAGCGTATAGACTTCTAAATAGATGCCATTTAAAATTAACAGTAAATTCGATAGAATAGTATGCTTTCAAAACTTGAAAATACCAAAAGGAATAAAGCAGTAAGTGACAATGTTAAAATAAAAGTACTGAAAAATTAAAATTTTATCGATAAATTAGAGATTCAGATAAATATACGAATATCTGAGATAGTGTGTATTACACACCTACTATTTTGAAATCGTAGTATTGTTTGGATTCCATTTGATAACTATAAAGACGTCGAAATTTTCCGACATGTGAGTTGATTTTGCAGTGTTTGATCTCCAAATGCAGTTTGCAGAAATAGGTAGGTTTATAAAGGAAGTAAAACATTCAACTAAATCCGATGAACTGGATGACATAAATCATACTAAATTAATTATATGACAGTATTCACAAGCGTTGGGGGGTTAAAACCTTATACCTTGAAAAATATCATGGAAGAACAAAAATCCGATTTGGGGCCTACAAAAAATGTTCCTAGAGTAATTCATACTGCCGCAGGTGCATTCGCTGAATGATATCACGACAATCATTGAATACGCGTCGGATATTTTCTGTATCAACTGCACAAGTTAAGTGAGGATAGCAATAATGACGTCCACCATTGTTATTTGACGTTACTTTCTGGAAGCATAAAAATAAAAGTAATATAGACATTATCATCAAGTTACATTAATTTTGATAAAACCCAATTTAAAAATTGGTCTTCAGACCAATTTAACTGAGTAGCCGAAATTGGATACAATGAAATATTTGAGTGTTGGAAAATTGAAATAACTACAGGAAAACTATGGCGATATGTTGTTCTTCAGTGACAAATAAGTCCATAAGTTTATGGATAATTACCAACTTATAGTTAATTAGTAATGATAAACTAATTGCATAAGACTAATTAAAAATTAGTGCAACTTACAAGAAATTCATCACGGAAGAAAAATCGGGCACGTACAACTTCTGAATTTTCATGACGATATTCTGCAAGTGCTGTACAAGAGAGAACAGTAATTAAGATATGTTGTTGATAAGCTTTTAATTTATGCAACTACGACAGAAACCCAATATAGCTATCAGGTTAGAAGAATATTACGGGCACAAGTAATAAAATGTGTTCTGTCAATAGTAATTAATCACCATATTATTTAAGCAGACTATACGACTTCCGAAAAACAGTGAAAAAGCAATTGAGGGTAACGAGTAACAGTAAAAAACTGACGCAATAATAAAATACAGATTTATAAGCAGATGTTTGCCAAAAGGCATGAGAAATGCATTTTTATGATTTAAGATAATTAATGTTACTTGGATATTCGAAGTATTACTGTTCTAAAGCCATCGAGACATGAAATGACAAAACCATGTTACGCCAGGCTTTCAGTGGATTTTATTTTACCAAAAACATGATTTATAAACTGATAAGCAGTTCAATCTACCGAACACAATCTACGACCTGGGACATTTGTATATTAGTCAAAGTTGCCACAGTACACTGGCGCAGTAAAATGAGACTCAAGATAAATCTCAGAGCAGCAGCAGTAAAACAGTCTAGAGCCAGACGCAATTTGAGAAGATTATGTGGACCTGGTGACTGTGAACGATTCGGGTTATAGTTCTTTATTTATATACACCAGCTGGTTGAGTAATGACAGCACACTGGGACTTTAACATTTTTAGTGATACAGTTTTGTAGGTTAACTCTTACTTAAATCATAATTTGAATGTTACATCAAGAAAGTAATTTTCAGACTAAACTTGAAATACCTGTTATAACAAACATGAAATCTTTTACTAAAGTATAGAGTGGTTAGGATGAAAGAGGGTCCAATTATTTGGAATTATTGTTAATCAGAAGTTTGTCTTCCACATCAATGTAGTGCAATGGCGATCTGGCGATTAAAGCACTTGGTTGTGAAATTATTAGTCAGCATGCTCAACCCTCTTTTATCTACTTCAGAGGTTGGGAGAGCGAGTATTATCGCTACCCCTTATTTAACCAGTGCGAGTCAAGCTCGAGCAAATAAAGTCGTAAATGATATGTTGTGAGTCATATTACTTCCAATTACGTTAGTGGTGTACATGATAGTTATTTAAGACTACCAACCTCTGAATTCTTATGAAACAGATTAAATGCTCACTGAAGAAACTTACTGTTGCAATGAAATAAAATAAATTGCAATCATAGGTTTTTATTTCTCTGGCACTTAGCACTACAAGAGATCTTCCTAATTTGGGCAAAGGGAGTTGTCACTCCTAAAGTAAATAATATGTCACCAGTCTAGTCATGGGAGTGGTTGATAGAAATAACAGACGCTTTCTCGACCCCATTCCGTCACAAACTAACTTGCCAAAAAAAACGCTAACCAGAAAAAATAATTCAAACCATTTTAACTCTGCCCTGGGAGTTGGAGGAAGAATTATGACGTCGCGTGATGAAAGCCGAGTTCCCTCGCAAGTCACGAAGCCGATGACTCTTCTGACAACCAGAGCAACCATTCTTTTAGGCACATGGAACGTTCGGACATTGTGGGAGACTGGAACACTATTTCAAGTTGCCGCAGAAATGAGAAGATACAACCTCGAGGTGCTCGGCATCAGTGAAACGCATTAGATACACGTAGGACAACTGAGACTAGCTTCAGGGGAACTGCTGTTATACTCTGGTCATGAAGAGGAAAACGCTTCACATACACAAGGAGTTGCACTGATGCTGTCCAAACATGCACAAAAGGCACTAATAGGATCGGAATCTCATGGACCCAGGATCATTCAAGCATCCTTCAAAACGAAGAAAGAGGACATCACAATGAACGTCATCCAATGTTATGCACCTACCAACGACTACAATGACGACGTTAAGGATCAATTCTACGAAAGGCTGCAGTCAATCGTCGAGAAATGTTCACCAAAGGATTCGACCATTCTTATGGGAGACCTGAATGCCAAGGTTGGAATGGACAACACTGGAATTGAAGACATCATGGGACGACATGGACTGGGAGAAAGGAACGAAAATGGTGAGAGATTTGCAAACTTATGTGCCTTCAACAAACTGGTCATCGGTGGCACAATATTCCCACACAAACGCATTCACAAAGCCACATGGATTTCACCGGATCACACCACTGAAAACCAAATTGACCATATCTGTATCAACAAAACGTTCAGAAGGACCATGCAGGATGTGAGAACCAAGAGAGGAGCTGATTTAGCCTCAGATCACCACTCGCTGGTCGCTAAAATGGGGCAGACAACATCACGCACGTTTATTACGGCCTTTCTTCGGGATACCGTAAAACTCAACGAATTCAAAATAGCCCTCATCAATAGGTTCCAGGCCTTGCAGGATGTACACAATGGAGAGGACGCAACATTGGAAAGGGATTAAGGAGGCAATCACTTCAACATGTCACGAAGTTCTGGGTCACAAGAAGTACCATCACAAAGAATGGATCTCTGTTGATACTCTTGCAAAAATTGAAGAAAGGAGGAACATGGGTTCAGCAATCAATGTCAGCCGAACAAGATCAGAGAAAGTTACCGCACAAGCTGCAGACACAGAAGCAAACAGGAAAGTGAAGAAGAACATCAGAGCTAACAAACGAAAATACGTGGAAGATCTAGCGATGACGGCGGAAAAGGCTGCAAGAGACGGTAACTTGAGATAATTGTACGAAACAACAAAGAAGCTCGCCGGAAACTATCGTAAACCAGAACGACCAGTGAAAAGCAAGGAGGGCAAAGTAATCAGCAACACTGAAGAACAGCGAAATAGGTGGGTAGAGCACTTTCAGGAACTCCTGAATCGACCAGCTGCACCGAACCCACCCAACATCGACGCAGCATCCATGGACCTCCCAATTAATATTGGCGCACATACTAATGAGATCAGTATGGTCATCAGACAAATCAAGAGCGGCAAACCAGCAGGACCAGACAACATTCCAGCAGAGGCAATGAAAGCAGATGTAGAAGCAACTGCGAAAATATTTCACAACCTCTTCAAGAAGATTTGGGATGAGGAACAAGTACCAGCAGATTGAAAAGAAGGATACCTGATCAAAATACCAAAAAAGGTAATCTCAGCAAGTGTGAGAACTAAAGAGACATCACTCTTCTCTCAATACCAGGCAAAGTCGTCAACAGGGTATTGTTAAACAGAATGAAGGACTTCGTAGACGCCCAACTTCGAGATCAGCAGGCCGGATTTCGTAAGGATCGATCGTGTACTGACCAAATTGCTACATTGCGGATCATTGTGGAACAACCAATTGAATGGAACTCATCACTGTAGATCAGCATCATCGACTCCGAGAAAGCATTCGATAGCGTGGATAGGAAAACACTGTGGAGGCTTCTTCGACACTACGGTGTGCCTGAAAAAATAGTCAACATCATACGGGACTCTTATGATGGATTCATCTGGACTTCGCAGATGACCTGGCTCTTCTACCGCACACTCAACAACAAATGCAAGAGAAGACGACCAGTGTAGCAGCAGCCTCCGCAGCAGTAGGTCTCAACATACATAAAGGAAAAAGCAAATATTCTCCAATGCAACACAACATGCACCGACCAAATTACTCTTGATGGAGATGCCTTGGAGGACGTTAACACCTTTACATATCTGGGCAGCATCATCGACAATCAAGGTGGATACGATGCACATGTGAGGGCGCGGATCGACAAAGCAAGGGCTGCATTTCTAGAATTGAAAAATATCTGGAACTCCAAACAGCTATCAACCAACACCGAAATCAGGATTTTTAATACAAATGTAAAGACAGTTCTACTGTATGGAGCGGAAACTTGGAGAACTACAAAAGGCATCATCCATAAGATACAAGTGTTTATTAACAGTTGTCTACGCAAAATACTTCGGATTGGTTGGCCAGACACCATCAGCAACAATCTACTGTGGGAGAAAACAAACCAGATTCCAGTGGAGGAAGAAATCAGGAAGAAGTGGTGGAAGTGGATAGGACACACACTACAAAAAGCACCTAACTGCGTCACGAGACAAGCCCTTACATGGAACCCTCAAGGCAAAAGGAAAAGAGGAAGGCCAAGGAACACACTACGCTGAGAAATAGAGGAAGATATGAGAAACATTGGACAGAACTGGAGAAGAAAGCCCAGGACAGAGTTGGTTGGAGAAAACTGGTGGGCGGCCTATGCTCCATTAGGGGTAACAGGCGTAAGTAAGTAAGTAATGAATATTATTTTATGCACAACAGTGGTATCTAGTGACAGAGAACAAGAAGAAACCTAAATGAAACAGTACAGGTATTTTTGACGTGGTTCAGCATGTACATCTTAAGAAAATAGTGCTAGAAATAAATGATTTAGATCATGACCTTAATTACAGGTATCTACATGAAAAAAATGCTACGTTATGTGATGTTACAAAGTGAAAGATTCACCAAAATAACTGGAATTCTTAAGATTTCCGCTCATATTTTTGGGGTTGTTACTCAACTAAGAGTACACAAATTTGAACAGTAAAAATTGAGGAAGAAAGAATAACACTGTCCCAGAAAGCTTACTATCAGCTGGAGCTTGGTATGTAGCATAATGCGGGAAATAGACTTCTATCTTGGACTTGCCAGCTAAGACTTTCTCTGTAAGTAAATCCTGCTTGTTAAGGAAGAGAATCACAGATATGTTCCGTAACCATCTACAATGAATAAAAGGAGAAATATGCGACTAGTTAGATGTAATAACAATCTCTGAAAAATAAGTTGGTATTCCTTCACACTGTCTCAAGCTTTGAAAAAAATAAGAGGTGATATAGATACTTTGTAAGAACAAGACAGCTTTAAACAACAGTCAAACAGGAGCAGGTAGGTACGGGGCACAGACCAAATACACAGAAGAAAACAAACGAATTAAAAGCATTAGGGTTGGGAAGCGGACGTATGTAGAAGACAGCAGAAAGAGCTGCAAGAGAAGGAAAGTTGAGAGAATTATATGACACAACTAGGATAGCACAGAAATATCGAAAACCAGAACGAAGAAAAACTAATTGCCAGTGGGATTACAACACTGCCGATCATTGTTGAGCAATCAATTGAATAGAACTTATTGCTGTTCATCAACTTTCTCCATTGTGAAAAAGCACTTCACTGAGTGAATTGAAAAACCTAATGGAGCCTTCTTCATCACTATGCAGTGCCGAAAAAAATAGTCATGATCATGCAGAACTCCCACTATAGAATGAATTTCGGATTTGTGTGTGCAATGCAGCTAACAGGTGCATTTTATGTGGACTGACATCAAAGAAGACAATCTACTCTCTCCTTTTCTCTTTCTTCTGCCTTATGAAAACCATATCTCAGGTGAACTGATTTAGTTGGTTGAAGAATCCCAGTTGGCGACCTACTCTTCTGCATCACAAACAGACCGTGATTCGGAATCCTCATGAGGAAGGAAACAAATCAAATAACGTATGGTGTCAGGAAGTGGAGGCGGACAATTGAAGGATGAATGACACTTGACAACATTCAGGAGGATCCAGGATTGGATTTTACAGATTGGTGACTTACGTCTCAAGAGTGGCAACGGACCCAAATAAGTAACCGGCTATTTTTTTTCTAACCGTATATCAAGATGTAGTCTACATTATACTTGAGATTCACTAACAGGTGACTGATTACAGTATAGTGGTTTTAAAACGCAATAAATCTTTTCATTGATTTACCAAACATAATTAGGCGAAACAGATGGAAGCATTTCTTCAACCTAACACATAGGCAGCATACATATAGGACGCTTACATAGAGTGTGAGAAACATTTCCAGGTGACAGGTATCCCATTTCCGAAAAACCCTCAGTTTTGTAGTGAGAGATAACGCAACACAATGGAAGTCTAAGTCTGATATCTTTGACAAGCTTACATTAACCACATAATACTGTTGAATGCAAAATTACGCAATTCCGAAAGTGATTGCGATTGAGAAGTTAAAGTAAGTCGCAACAGATATCAAATAAAAATTCAAACAGTAGGCTACAAAGTAGAACTTGGCACGTACCTACATCAGCTCAAGTTGTCATACTCTATTAGCACAAGTGGAATTGTCAATTCAGATGACTTAACAGCTTATGTATTAAAAGATTAAGGATCATGTAAATAAGGAGGTCCAAATTTGAGCGAATAGAAAGAATAGATGCATCTGCACCATTGCGAATTTCGAGCTGCATGATTAGGAGTCCGAAGCTATCAGTTACAACTGCTTTGCCGACCTTTTCAACTTCATTGAGAGTTCGGTGACTGAAGTCGATTTGCCATTCAGGTTGATTGTAGATCGTGGGTAACGGAAGTGTGGCTGAAGGCCAATTAAACTAGTCCCTAAAATGCTCTGCCCATCGATCCAATCTCCTGGATTGAGACCCAAACATAGCTGCTACCTTGACGTGATGGTCGGGCTTGCCTATCGTGATGAACCAAACGAGCTATACTGGCTGGAACATATGTTCCTGCAGGTCCTACGATGCCAGGCTGGTCGATTGGAGAACGATGGGACTAAAACCAGCTACCCAAGGTCTGAGGGCGAAGTCGTACTGCTGACTGCAGAGGCGTGTGACAGCAGTAAGGTGTTTCCCTCAGACAACCAGCATCTGCAGCGATGCTGCCTTCTCACAAGGAAGGAAGGGTTAGAAAAGGTCGGCCCTAAGAATTTCACACCCCCTACCTCACGGATTTCCGTCTCCGTCGGTAAGGGTGCCCACTAAGGGCCTTCAAGAGCGGAGTTAATACCCAAAACACCTTTCATAATAAGACCGTGCGTGACCGGCCTCAAGCAGTTGTCACTTGGACTCCGCGGTCACGCACCCAGGTCTCCAATACCAACACTAATCTACCTTGCTTTTCAAGTCCCTCGAGAAACAACCTTCCACGGTGTTAGCAGCCGGGAAGTGACAACCGCCCTCATATCCGTAACAGCACACGAGACCAAATTGGTCGAAATCAAATCCTTCCTACACCCACACATACCTCTCTTATCTCTACGACAAATTCTTCTCACATTACTTTATCACCCATTACCGCTAATGCAAACGATGCGAGTTCACGAAATGTCATTCCTGGTCTCTTGAAACCTCGTCTAGACTACATGTTGGAGCTTTTAATGTACGCACATTGTGTCAAGTAAGGCAACAGGCATCATTAGCTAGGACTTTAGAATCTCGTGCCATCGATGTATGCTGCGTCTCGGAAACGCGCATACAGGATCCTTGTAAAATTATTAATCTGATTTCACCTTGTCAAAATAAAGAAGCAGCTCGATTTACTATTCGTGTATCTGGAAGCTCTGATGCTGCTTCCAGCGGTCTTGCTGGCGTAGGCATAGCATTGAGTCGTAGAGCTGAACAATCTCTCCCAGACTGGATCCCAGTAGATAGTCGCTTGTGCGCTGTCCGACTAAACGGTACAGTAAGGACTCGGAAAAATAGGGACAATTGCCGTTGCCTCTTCATCGTATCTGCCTATGCCCCCACTGACTGCAGTTCAGACGAGGTTAAAGATGAGTTTTACAGGAAGCTTTCGGACCTCCTCCAAAAAGCTAGGCGCTCTGATATAGTATTAATGACTGGTGACTTTATTGCTCAAGTAGGTATACTAAGTGAAAATGAAAGACCTGGGTGGATGTTATGGTGTCGCGGCTCAGAGAACAGACAATGCAATGTTGCAAGTATGCTCAGACAACCGTTTATTCTTAGCAAACACTAACTTTAAGCATAAGGAATAGCATCTTTTGACCTGGCGACCTCCAAAGTCGTCTCAACGTAGGACGCAACTAGATCATATCGCCATCAGCCACCGATGGACGGGTTCGATAGAGGACTGTCGCTCGTTCTGGAGCACATGCCTAGATTCAGATCATGCTCTAGTGCGAACGCGTATTTGTTTGCGCCTTACTGGACGCCAGAAAAATATCGCAAGAAAACGAACAAAGTCAACTTAGGCGCAGACTTATATAAGCCTACGTAACGATCGCGAACGGTGGTGGGTGGCGAAAGCAAAAGCGATGGAAAAGGCAGCGGCGATCGGCAACAGTAGACAACTTTTCAAGGAAACCGGTATTAGAAATCCTAGTGTAAGTGAGACTATCTCAGAAAATGACGGGACTATTATTTATTCTCAATCCAGGAGACTGGATCGATGGGCAGGGATCAGTTCAACTGGCCCCGAGCCACTCTTCAGTTACCCACGATCTCCAGTCATCCTGAATGGCAAATCGACGTAAGCCCTCAGAAACTTTATGAAGTTAAGAAAGCTACTGGAAATCTGAAGCAAGGGCGAGCTGCAGGTCCTGATAGACTGACCCCTCAGATATTTAAGGATGGTGGTCCAGTTTAGCAGCTAGGTTGACTGAGACCTTAGGTAGAATCTAGGAACTGGACGTTATACCATCCGACTGGCTTCAATCCACGATTGTCCAAATTTATAACAAAGGACGAGTCTTCTTGCGACAATCACAGAGGAATCAGTCTAAATAATATAGTTTCTAAATTGTTAGCCTCAGTAATCCTTAGACGCCTAACTAGTGCTCGTGAAGAGCAGACTAGAGAACACCAGTCTGGTTTTCGACTTGGACGTGGCTGTATAGACCACATCTTCACACTACGACAGGTCCTGGAACACAGACACACATTTAGGCGTCCTACAATAGTTGTCTTCCTGGACCTAAAGGCGGCATTCGACTCTGTTGATCGTGAGGTCCTGTGGCAGTGTCTGTCATTGAAAGATGTACCAGGGAAGTACATTAACCTTATACAAGCTCTCTTCTCGAACACCACTGGTCGAGTGAGAGCTTATGGCGAACTGTCACCGGAATTCTTCACTTTTACCAGGAGGCTCGGTTATTGACTTAGAATATGCCGATGACATAGTTCTACTTGGCGAAGACGCTGACAAAGTGCAGTCTTCTGACCACCCTAAGCAACAATGCAAGCATGTTCGGGATGCAATTCTCACCCTCGAAATGCAAAATGTTGCTTCAAGATCGGGTTGCATCGGCACCTGAACTAGTGATGGGCAGTGAAGTAGTTGAGCGTGTTGAGCGCTTCACTTATCTTGGGAGTTTCATCAGTGCTGATGGCCTGGTGACTGACGAAATCTCAGCACGGATACAGAAGGCTCGATTGGCTTTTGTCAACCTGCGTCACTTATGGCGAAGGCGAGATATCCGTTTGCTGACTAAAGGACGAGTGTACTGTACAGTAGTTCGCTCCGTCTTACTTTATGGCTGTGAAACATGTCCAATGAGAGTAGAAGATATTCGTAGGTTACTGGTTTTTGATCATATGTGTCTCCAAGCTGTCTCGTAGTAGACCACTCACATGGCTGGCTATCTAACTCTTTTCCTAGTTTTTCTCCAAATATACTCTTGGCATTTTTATACTAAAGTAGAACTCGGGTATCCTTACCATGGCTTTCCTTCGCCCAGTAAACCGCAGAAAAATACGTGCTTGTAATACAGCATTACCCGAATCTAAACATATGCTCCAGATGATAGCGATGTGATCGAGTTGTGTCTAGCACTGAGTCGATTTTGGGGGTCGCCATGTAAAAAAGTGTTTTTCCTTATGTTTAGAGTTGGTATTCGCTAGAAATAGGCGGTTATCTGAGCGTAGATGCAACAGGCGGCCGCAAGTACATAACTCCATAAATATTTAGATGCCCATTTGTATTAATATTTGTGTTTAAATATTAAAATGATGCAGTCATTTCAATAATAACGGTTAGAACCAATGTAGAATTTTGTGCCGACCATAAGAATGTGAACACAGAACCCAGCATGGATGCTTATTTGTCCAAATTAGAACACTTCAACTCACAAGAAATACAAACAATCGCAGAAGCTTCGCTAGCAAAATAAAATTAGAAAGATGAAACATAACTGAATGAGTGATAAAACAGAATAAGACTTCGCGCGTGAACGGACGTATTTGAGCAAGTTTCAGAGACACCAGTCAGTTACAATGTAGAACTTCGTACGTACGTACATCAGCTCAAGTTTCCACATCACCGTAGCATGGATATGTAATAGTCGATTTAAATCCCATAGTGGTAGAGGAAGTAGAAGTAATAGCAGTAATCGGAAAGATTAAGGTCTGAAGATATTGTTCGGAGACATCACTCCATATTTTTGCCGAAACCGTGGAAACATCTCCTTATTCCGGAAACTGAATACCCGGCCTATTATCAAAATTTTCAGCGTATTTTGGAGTGGAACGACTACTACTTATACCTCATTGATGTTACAAACAACTGAAAATTTTTCGATAAGAACAGTTTCAGATTACTGCTGTGAAATTAAGACTCCTAATCTTTTATAATCAGGTTTAATGATCATGTGTAAATATAAATCAAGCCAAACAGCCAGGTGCTTACACTAAATATCTATTAACACCCACTAACCGTATTGATCCCAAATGGCTTATTCTTTAGAAGCGCAATGTAGCTCAATATGAGTTGCCAAGGAATAGATACTCTACGATGGTATACATTATAGTACATAGTTAAATATGAGTGCATATATATATATATATATATATATATATATATATATATATATTATATACTTCCAGAATGTAAACACTGACTGAGAGAACAATCAAAGTATGAAATTCCGTGCAAAAACAGAATCATCCTAAACCAAACAGGATTTCTCCTAGGCAAACATATTCTGCGTCCTGAAAAATATGTGTAATTAATAACCCAATATAGATTTAATCTACTCCTCATGAATATGGGTCAATTAGAACGCTGATAAAGGAATATGGGCATGTAAACAAACCTGTTATTCCATATGGAAGCAAGAAGTTCTAGAGACTCCTTTACACGGTTTTGACTAGGATCTTCCCGTAATACCATATTGTACGAAGAACAAGCAGCAACGAATATGATTGCAGTGACGTCGTTAAAGCACTGGATCCACTTCCGACGCTCTTCCCTCTGCCCACCGACGTCAAACATATGGAAATTAACTTTATCGACGCTGAACTTTGTTTCAAATATTCCTGAAGTTAGAACACGACAGCGCAAAATATCCTGTTCAGATGGGATGTAGTTTGGAGCGCCGACCTCCAAAGCCTTATCAAGGAAACTGGCAAACATAAAAAAAGAGCAACATACTATTTTGCACAGTCGATTAGTTGATATTCATTTGATCTCTCAAAGGTTTCTAGTATACCTCCATCTTTCCATAATTTGGCGCAATATGTAAAAAACTCCTAGACAAATATGATACATAACATATAAGTACCGGTGGATAGTCGAAATCTGGTTTGGATGCAGTTTCCAGGATATAATTCCTCAATTTTATGTTTTCACTGAGTTCAAGCTCCACAGGCGGTTTCAAGGAACTCATAGCACCGGCTATTGACTGAAAAACTTAAGTAATGTCCAGAAACCTACACAGATAGCGTCACGAAGGTTTTTTCTGATTGCATCAATCTTTTCCTTCTTTTCTCTGATGTATATTATAACAAGGGCAAAGTAAAACTCACCGTTCTGAAAAGCCGTCTATGTGCAATATCCTCATCTGTTTAACAATGGTTGATTTCCCAGACTCTCCTGCACCTATTAGAGTTAAAAAGTCTTAGATCATCAACCATACCCAAAAGGAGTAATCTGTGTGTAGACTTGAAGTTCTTTTTCTCCTTTTCAATTAACTTTTCAATCTGTTTATTTGCATCGCTTCGCGTTTTGGCATCTTCCGAAATATTGTTTAGTGTGCAACAGCCAATAACCATTTTTTCCTTTAAAAGAAATATTTATCGGAATGGCCGAGATATGTAGGACAGAATCATATAATACATCACAGGAGTCCTACATGAGCTAGGGTCAATGAAGGCATTGGATGAATTAGAAAGTGAAGTCGATAAACAACGCATTCAATTCTCAACATATAATTTAATTTGGGTATTCAGCTGCAGGTCCTTTAATGTACATAATATATAAGCTAGCTTGGATCTCAGAAGGCTAGAGTTCAAAAAAGTTATAAAGATAAGTCAAAACATAGCATGATTCTGTGGAGGTTGTTGAAGCATACTTTGCAAGCAAATTGTTGAATCTTTTCAATTTTCGATAATTCCATTTACGCACTGAAATACTAGATTGCCTAGATAGTTTTGTTTAAGTTGTCTATCATTATTTCCATTGATTGTTAGCACTTCATATTGATTACGGTGCATAAATTACTCGTGTTGCATTCACACTTCGTACAACTTAGTTAGTTGCCGTTCCCTAACTATGTACTAACAATACTGTTGCATAATTTGCCAGACTAAAATCAACGGTATATAATATTCATCTTAGAAGTAAGCTGTCTAGAAAGAGATCAGTCTACAGGTTTCCGTCCAGATTACCATCAGGCGACATGTGTTGGTACCGTAAAAAGTATGGTAACAAATCACAGAGGCGAACAATACGCTGAGGCTTCCCGTCAACAGATCAGGACATTGATGGAAACGGACTAGCGACAACCCAACAAGCTGTCTGCCGCATGTCAGTTTTCTGGTTCCCATTTGTTATTAGGTGCCGGAGCGGATAATTCCAGATACGGTGGCAGAATACTTGGAGAAGAAGGGTATAACTCCAGGTGGCCAGCCGAAAAGCATTCAGACACACGGAGAGCAGTCATCAATTCTAAATCTAGGACTGTGTCGAAAATTTTCACGGGGTTTCATTGCGGCGCAAGTAGAACTACCTGTCGTTGGGACTGACTTCCGAGTGCTCGTAACTTAATAGTGGATATGAATGAAAATCCTACAAATGAACACACTCATGTGTAGGTTTATGTAAAAATTTGCAGCAGTAGAATTCATGATATCCAAGTCGTAAAACCTATAAAATCTTTTCAGTAAAATTCTATATGAGTCCGAATCTGTTATTAAAGACGATTCGCTAAGGGTCCACACTGCACACCAAACGAAGTACTGTTTAACTATTATGGGTCAACCACTCTGTGTACGGCCGTGCAGCTAGCCCATTGATAAGTTAAAGACTGATGTGAGGAAATTCGAGCCCGGCGCAGTTGAGCATCACGCGGTAAGCCAATAGCTCATGTGATTTCTCACTAGACAGTTCACAAGAAGGACCCTTACTGGTGTCAATGCGGAGATTACCGTCATTTTAGTATTCAGAAGACTCCAAACCAATACTCCTACTTACATGATATCTCGTTGAGAATATGTGGAAAAGATCTGTTTTAGAAGCTGGGACATGAAAGGGCATGTCGAATTCCAGTGACTACAGATGATATTTAAACTCGACTGTACCTGCTACCTTGACGTGGTGGTCTGACTTGCCTATCCTGATGTTGGCCAAGTGTTCCTTTAGGTTCAACAGTGCCAGGCTGGTCGACTGTAGAACGGTTAGACTAAATGCAGCAACACAAGGTCTGAGGGCAAATTCGTACTGCTGACTTTAGAGAAGTGTGATAGCAGTAAGGTTTTTCCCTCGGACAACCAGTACCAGCAGCGATGACACCTTCTGACAAGAAAGGAAGGGATTAGAAAGGGTTCACCATAAAAATGTCACACCTGACCTTACCCCATGGATTTCCCTCTCCCGTGGTAAGGCCATATGAAGATGGGAGCTAAGACTTCCGAAAAATTTCATGAAAAGGCCGTGTGCGACCGGCCTCAAGCTATAGTCATCTGTGCTCTGAGGTCACCTTCCAATGTCGCCCAAACCAACGCTAACCCAACTTAATTTCAGGTTCCTCAAGAAGTAACCTTCCAGTGTATGGGCAGCCGAGAAGTGACATTCACTCTCATACCAGTAGAGCATATGAGACCAAGTCAATCACAACCAAATCCTTCCTTCACCTATAACTAACTCTATTATCTCCACGATAAACACTTCTTTCATTCCCTCGTAACCCTGAGCATCCGTGAAAACGTTTATAGTTCACAAAACAGTAATCCTGGTCAGATCAATAGATGAAGTAATGAAACGTCATCAGTTGAGGTGGTTGGGACATGTGTTGCGTATGCCTAACCACCGACTGCTTCGACGAGCTTTGTTTTGTAGTGTAGGAATAGGTTGGAAGAAAGTTAGGGGCGGCCAGACCAAAACATGGCACAAATCCATGAAGTCATTGACGAGTGGACTTAGCCATGTCGGTAATTGTCGACTACCTGATTGGGGTCCGCGAGATGATAATAATCGGTGGTTAGGGACCGTGAATGACATGGCTGAAAACCGTTTGCAATGGCGCCGGTGCATTCATTCTTTATCCTCTCTCAAATCCTAATCTTCTGAATTTTTCATAAGAGGTTTTCCCTCTTTTAACTGATTCCTGTGGGGTCAGTCAGTCAGATGCAACGTAGAACTTTGTACATAAGTACATCAGTTCATGTTGCCATACCACATGAGCACAGAGAAGTAATCGTCAATTCAAATCCAATAGTAGGGTATACATCCTGAATGATATATTTGATGATTAATCGTTTTGATTACTGCTAACATTTCTACTACCCCTACTATTATGGGATTTGAATTGACAATTGCGTCTCTGTGCCATTGTGATATGGCAACTTGAACTGATGTAAGTACATTCGAATTTCTACGTTGTAACTGACTGACTGACTGAATGAGCATGTGGTTTCGTGGTCTTTAACAATAACTGTGGTTACCTTGCTGTTATAATGCCGTGGATTCTGGACACTTTCAACAGCCTCATTTTATATAAAGACTGTGTAAAAACCTTGAGTCGTAGGTTGCAATCCTTTGTATTTTACAGAAATAATCGTTTCTAATGGATCTTGTGAAAGCAGAAATAGCAAGGCAACGTGAGAAGCTCATTAGCAGCGGGTTGGTATGTATAAAAATTTCGGTTTTTTTCGTAATTTAAACACTTAGTGTGATAAAAAGTTCTTTAAGCGTTCACTATTAAAACAAAAGGAAGAAGATGAATATTTCAGCAAATCCAAACGCATAAAAGAACAAGCGAATAACAGTGATGATTATAATTTTAGAACTAAGGTGTGCGTCGTTTTCTGAGTGGATAATGTTTTTAATAGACAGTAGAAGAAGATCTCTTGTTGAAAAAGTTCGAAGAAAGAAGTCGGGAAGAAAGAGAAAAAGGAAAGCTTATGCCTCGTAAAGAAGTAAGTTTGTATATCCTTCTGAAACTGTGTTTCCAGGTTATTCGTCTTCTAAGAGAACGCAATCAACCTATACGATTATTCGGTGAGAGTGATTACGACACTTTTCAACGGTTAAAAAGAGTCCAACTTTTGGAACCTGAATCAAAGGGATTGCGCAATGATCTCATTGCAGCACTGGATAAGGTAGTTTATCAGGATTCGTATTATTCTTGTTAGTTAGATGATGCTGATGATGAAGAGTTTTATACCTCGGGTCGTGGCAAACCGGCTTCGGAATCCCAGTCTATCGACAATTCATCAGTCTCCTCTACACTGGATGTTAAAACAAAAGAAAACATATTAACGGGAGAAGAGCTTGAGAAGATAAAAATAGATTTAGCCCGTTATGTCACTATAAAAGAGGGTACTGCCACTGATGACGCAACGACTGCGGTTGTTGCCATCAGTAAACTTGCGCCAGACAGTGTATGTACCAATGATTTTGACGAAGGATTTCATGACCAAGTGATCGATCACACTCTCCGCTATTTGAAAGTGAGCCTAAACTTTAAAAACCATAAATTTGCCTGTATATTTTCTTTGTCAGTTCAAGTGACCTATTACTGATTGTACTTCAAGAAATTTCGAATTTTCTATCATTGGATTAATCTTATGTTTCTTATAGTATGGTGAAATGTTTGACTCAGATTTCCAAGCGTAATCTCACTAGATTCCTGATTGTCCATAGTTTTGAATTTGCACGACACCCTTAATTGGTCAACAAGGGTTTGTTAGTTTTCCTTTTCAATCAGTCAGTCATTTACAACATAGAACTTCGTACGTACGTACATCAGTTCAAGTTACCATACCACGATAGCACACAGATGCAATAGTCCATTCAACTTCCGTGTGGTAAAGGTAGTAGAAGTAATGGCAGTAATCGTAAAGATCACGCTTCAACAATATTATTCAAAAAGTATAATCCAGGGAAGTAGATTTGAGACAAGGAAGAAGAGGGTCATGAGCAGTTTGGATTTAAATTTGAGAGAACACACTTAGTGGATGCATCTGCGCCGTTACAAACGATTTGGAGCCATGTCATTCAAGGTCTATAATCATCGATTACCATCACCTCCAACCCAACCTAATCCCAGCACACAGATGCGATTGTCCATTCAACTTCCGTGTGGTAGAGGTAGCAGAATTAACAGCGGTAATCGTAAAGATCACGCTTCGACGATATTGTTCGAAAAGTATAAAACAGTGAAGTAAATGGAGCTATTATTCATTGTCAATCCACGTGATTGAATCGATGGGCAAAACACTTCAGGGATCAGTTCAACTGGCCTTCAATAACACTTCGGTTACCCACGATCTCCAGTCATCCTGAATGGCAAATCGACGTAAGCCCTCTGAATTTTTATGAAGTTGAGTAGGCTAAGAGAAATCTGAAGCGACGGAGAGCTGCGGGTTCTGATAGATTGACGCCTGAGATTTTTAAGCATGGTGGTCCAGTTTAGACAGTTAGATTAACTGAAATCTTAGGTAGAATCTGAGAACTGCGCCTAATACCTATCTAACTAGTCTGTATAACTAGTTGACCTATTCCACAAGAAAGGACAAAAGTCCTCTTGTGACAATCACCGAGGAGTAAGTCTAACTAATGCAGTATCTAAAATATTGGCCTCAGTAATACTCCGATGCCTAACGAAAACTAGTGAAGAACAGACTAGAGAAAACCAGGCTGGTTCACGACCTGGACGTGGCTGCATAGACCAAATATTCACAGTACGTCAGGTCCTAGAACAAAGACACACGTTCATACGCCCCACAATAGTAGTCTTTATCGACCTCAGAGCGGCATTCGACTCTGTTGATCGTCGGGTTTTGTAGCAGTGTCTGTCATTGAAAGGTGAACCAGAGAAGTACATTAACCTTACACGAGCTCTCTACTCGAACACTACAGATCGAGTGAGAGCTTATAGCGAACTGGCGTCGGAATTCTGTAGTTTAAGTGATGTCCGTCAGTGCTGACCTCTTTCCTCATTCTTGTTTAACTTAATCGTAGATATGCTTCTCGAGTTCACATTATCGTCTGACTCTTCAGGAAAGGACATTTTACCAGGAGACACGCTTGCTGACTTAGAATATGCTGACGATATAGTCCTATTCGATGAAGACGCTGACAAAATACAGAGTCTTCTGACTACCATAAGCAGTCAGTCAGATGCAACGTAGAACTTCGTACGTAAGTAGATCAGTTCATGTTGCCATACCACATCAACACAGAGATATAATTGTCAATTTAAATCCAATAGTAGTAGAGGTAGTAAAGGTATTAGAAGTAATCGAATAGATAAGGATTAGAAGATATAATTCAGGAAGTATGATTCAGTGAGATAAGTTAAGAAAGTCAAAACTAGAGTGGTTGAAAAATCCAGAAGATTAGGGTTCAAGAGAACACAGAGAATAAATGCACCGGCGCCGGTGCAAACGGTTTTCAGCCATGTCATTCACGGTCCCTAACCACCGATTATTATCATCTCGCGGACCCCAACCAGGTAGTCGACAATTACCGACATGGCTAAGTCCACTCGTCAATGACTTCATGACTTCCTTAAAAATCTCAGCGGTAAGACTATCAGGACGTGCTGCTCTACCACGATTTGGATTTCCTACAGCTTTTGTATCATCGTTAAGACCAGGAGGACTTACATCGACTTGCATTCAGGATGACTGGAAATCGTGGGTAACCGAACTGTGGCTGAAGGCCAGTTGAACTGATCCATAAAGTTTTCTGCCCATCGGTCCAGTCTCCTGGATTAAGAATAAATAATAGTCCCGTCATTTTCTGAGATAGTCTCACTTACACTAGGATTCCTAATACCGCTTTCCTTGATGAGTCTGAATAGTTGCCTATTGCCGCTGCCTTTTCCATCTCTCTCGCTTTCTCCACTCACCACTGTTCTCGATCATTGAGTAAGGCTTTTTATCAGCCTACGTCTAAGCTCCCTCCGCTTCTCATCGCACTCAGAGCCAGGTGTGATGAGTTTTCGAGCATCCCTCAGTTCGGTAGATGCTACGGAGATTCACGGCTTCATTTTAAGGATGATGGTCCAGTTTCAGCAGCTAGGTTGACCAAGATCTTAGGTAGAATCTGGGAACTGAACGTAATCCCTTTCGAGTGGTCTCAGTCCCTGATTGTCCAAATCTTTAAGAAAGGACAAGTCTTCTTGCGACAATCACAGAGGAATCAGTCTAAATAATATAGTTTCTAAATTGTTAGCCTCAGTAATCCTTAGACGCCTAACTAGTGCTCGTGAAGAGCAGACTAGAGAACACCAGTCTGGTTTTCGACTTGGACGTGGCTGTATAGACCACATCTTCACACTACGACAGGTCCTGGAACACACACACATTTAGGCGTCCTACAATAGTTGTCTTCCTGGACCTAAAGGCGGCATTCGACTCTGTTGATCGTGAGGTCCTGTGGCAGTGTCTGTCATTGAAAGATGTACCAGGGAAGTACATTAACCTTATACAAGCTCTCTTCTCGAACACCACTGGTCGAGTGAGAGCTTATGGCGAACTGTCACCGGAATTCTTCACTTCAAGTGGTGTCCATCAGCGATGTCCACTCTCTCCATTCTTGTTTAATTTTATCATAGACATGCTCCTAGATATAACCTTTTCCTCGTCTGAATTTTCAGGAGTAGACCTTTTACCAGGAGGCTCGGTTATTGACTTAGAATATGCCGATGACATAGTTCTACTTGGCGAAGACGCTGACAAAGTGCAGTCTTCTGACCACCCTAAGCAACAATGCAAGCATGTTCGGGATGCAATTCTCACCCTCGAAATGCAAAATGTTGCTTCAAGATCGGGTTGCATCGGCACCTGAACTAGTGATGGGCAGTGAAGTAGTTGAGCGTGTTGAGCGCTTCACTTATCTTGGGAGTTTCATCAGTGCTGATGGCCTGGTGACTGACGAAATCTCAGCACGGATACAGAAGGCTCGATTGGCTTTTGTCAACCTGCGTCACTTATGGCGAAGGCGAGATATCCGTTTGCTGACTAAAAAACGAGTGTACTGTACAGTAGTTCGCTCCGTCTTACTTTATGGCTGTGAAACATGGCCAATGAGAGTAGAAGATATTCGTAGGTTACTGGTTTTTGATCATAGGTGTCTTCGGAGGATTGCTCGTATATCCTGGGATACCCGAGTGAGCAACGCTGTTATTAGGAAGCGGGTGCTAGGTCAGAATGGCAGATCAATAGATGAAGTAATGAAACTTCACCAGTTGAGGTGGTTGGGACATGTGTTGCGTATGCCTAACCACCGACTGCTTCGCCGAGCTTTGTTTTGTAGTGTAGGAATAGGTTGGAAGAAAGTTAGGGGCGGCCAGACCAAAACATGGCACAAATCCATGAAGTCATTGACGAGTGGACTTAGCCATGTCGGTAATTGTCGACTACCTGATTGGGGTCCGCGAGATGATAATAATCGGTGGTTAGGGACCGTGAATGACATGGCTGAAAACCGTTTGCACCGGCGCCGGTGCATTTATTCTCTGTGTTCTCTTGAACCCTAATCTTCTGGATTCTTCAACCACTCTAGTTTTGACTTTCTTAACTTATCTCACTGAATCATACTTCCTGAATTATATCTTCTAATCCTTATCTATTCGATTACTTCTAATACCTTTACTACCTCTACTACTATTGGATTTAAATTGACAATTATATCTCTGTGATGATGTGGCATGGCGACATGAATTGATGTACTTACGTACGAAGTTCTACGTTGCATCTGACTGACTGACTGACTGAATCGTAGAAGTATACCGATTAAACTATTTACAGTATTTGCTACTCTCAAAACCTGATCTTCAAGAGAACATTCTTGATAGACAGCAGCCCAATCAAAAACATTCCCTATTTTCCAGGCCTTTCAGGATAGATAACAGGATGATGAGGAATATACCAACAAACAGCATCACGGTCGAATTCCGCCTTACTAGCTTCAGTGTTGTACCCCTTACTTAAATGTTTATTTATTACGAGTTGATATTTCTCCAGAAGACTATTATCCTTCATAAACCTCTTCCTTAAACACTCTAGTATTCGTTCAGCTAGTTCCAAATTATTCGGTAGCCATGGCTTATGATACTTCCAGGGTAGACCAACTTGAAAATGGCCACCCTCCAGTCTAAAGGTACTTTTAACTATTTCTAGAGCTCTTCTATCTTCGACAGAATATCCATTACGAAACCCATCTGCATCCTCGAACTCATGATTATATAATCTTTCTATATCTCGCAAAATATCATTAGTAGAACAATGGCACCACTGAACTTAATGTAAAGACCTCGATACTCCTTGAGGACCTAAAATCATCCAGCCGAGATGAGTACGCACACCAAACGGATGCTTCCTGTCTCCCAGGCGTTGTTCAAGGACCCAATCTGTAGCATCACACCCAATCAATATTCCTACAAGATTACTTTGCAACCTCGGTAGAGTTATGTCCTTTAAATGTTTCCACTTTTTCAGCT